TCTGTGTGCGGGGGCGCTTGCCGTGAACATCGAGTCACATGGGTGCAGCTGATGTGCTCACTGTACACATGACGCCCCCTTCCTTCTCTGTTCAGGTAACATGGCTCCAGAAAAAAAAGGCTTTCCTGAAGGCATCGAGCAAGAAAGTAGATAGGCGTTCCTTCACTCCTAGAAAGTGGCTCCGTGGGGCGGGGGTTTTGCCCTTCTCTCTGTGATGAAGCCCCGGTGCCTAGGAGAGCCGGCTCGTGGAGTACTCCGCGCTCATGCACTGTGTGTGGCGTACTTAAGGCTTCTTTAGGGGGAAGACTCTCAACATAAACAGACTCATTCACGGAGTTAGATGTTCACCTTAAAGCAGGTTCTGGACAGCTGGAAACTCACGTGCTCGTGGTTTTAGGATGAACTCACCCAGTGCTTCTCTGTTAGGCAACAGAAAGCCGCGCCATCCACCTGCGGGAGCACCTCTCGATGGGAGCTCAACTCTTTATAAAACTTAATGCCACAAATATGCACGCAACTCCCATTTTCATTCCAGCTGTGTTCCAGGCTGTGTCCTGGTGAAGAGGCTGAAGCAAGTCTCTGCCTCCGTAAGGATCACATCTCGCCAGGAGGGTGTTCGTCGTCAGCAGGGACACAAACACACGGGGGGCGGGGCATCACACGTGGGGAGCGCCGCCTGCCCCGCGAGGCAGTGGGACTGGATGCCAGGCAGCCGTGGGCAGCGGCCAGAGTGGGGAAAGCCCCTCTGGGGGCCTCTCCTTTGGCTTCTCAGACCCACGCCCTCCTAGTTTCCCTGTGATCCGACGAGCGTCGAGCTCACTCTGCCTTCCCCACAAGGGAGGAGGCTGTGAGCCGTGTGGGGTGCTGCGCAGTCCCGCCGGGGCTTGTCCACTGATGGGGCTGATAGCAGTGCTGGCAGCCACCGCGAGGGCATGGCAGCAGCTGGTGGGGCGACCTTGACTGGAGCAGGGTCAGCTGTGACCAGACACAAGCAGCAAAGAGGGGAGATCTCGGCTCAGAGGGCTCTGCTTTAAAGAGGAGCAGAAATGAGGTGGTGGCTGGGCAAGGGCATGGGGTCACGGAGGGTTTTGTTAGAAACGGGAGACGGTATAATAATACAGTACGTTTGATGCAGGCTGGAGAGGGTATGAAAGGCAGGGGGCAAAGTCGCTCTGGGGGCAAAATGGGGCAGAATCCAGCTCCCAGGACGAGGAGGCCCCGGGTCCATGGGAACCAGGGACAGGAAGGAGGATGCTGTCTTCTAATGGCTGCTTTTGGGGGTTTTTTTTATCTTCAGCAAAATGAAAAATGATGTCTTTGTGGGGAGGGAGTGAGGTGTGGGGCATTTGAGGAGAACGGAGGAGGTGTGATACAGCCTCTTGGAGAGCGGGGAGCAGCTTTACTCTGGGAATGTAGTGAATGGAAGGGCAGGCCAGAGGTCCAGCCCCGGTGAGCATGAGGCTCTGTTCCTCCAGCAGGACCTGAGTACAGGTGGAAGTCAAGTTGGACGAATGATCAGGAAAGGTAGAGGGAGAAGAGTGCCACTAGATTAACCCTCAGAGTGTGGGTCCGGGTGTAAGTGAGCCGGGAGACAAAAATAAGACTCAGAGGAGCTGGTTCCCCGCAGCGGGCCTGGGTCAGGACCATGAAGGCTAGGGAGAAGGAAGGAGCTTAGCGAGGCGGAGGCACGAGAGGCCAGGACGCTGAAGTGAGCACGTAGGAGGAACTGGACGTCATCACTCCTGAGTGAGGACGGGGTGAGCTGCTGCTGAAACAGTCAGTGAGCGAAGAAGGGGCAGACGCCAGGGGTCCGTGGGTGTGAGTGGGCTTACGGGGGGCATCGCTTCAAGGGGATGGGGCTGGAGGGCAGGAGGAGTAGTCTGCAAGCAGCAGAGGGGGCAGGAAGGACACCTGCCCCCACCTGTGTGCTCCCTGGGGGTGGGAGGTATGTGTCCCCCCGCCCCGGGGAGAGCCAGGTCATAGCAGGTGAAGGGAATATTCTGAGAGGTTCGCTCTCGTGAGGGCGTTTGCACAGACAGACCAGGAGGAGACTGAGCAGGTGACGAGGAGTGGAGCAATTCCGATCCTGCAGGTCTCCCTGTTGCCATTTTAGACCTGTTGGTTTTCTGTGGTGGGAGCTGTCCTGTGTGTTGTGGGATATTTCTCAGCATCTCTGGCTTCTACCTACTTGATGCTAGTACACCTCCACCTGTCTTAGTCTGATAACCAGAAATATCTGTGGACATTATCAGGTGTCCCTGGGCAGGGGTTTCCAGTTGAGAGCCAGTGGCTTAGTGGGACTCGGGAGCCACAGGTGGATGGGTGCCCTGGTGTGGAAGGGTGCCCACGGAAAGGAAGGCTGGAGAGGCTGCTGATGGGCCGTCAGGGGAAGGCAGGTGTCACTCCTACCTACCTCAAGGCTGCTGCTCAGCCATTTGCTTCAAGTGAATCAGAGATTTCTCCCTGAATTACAAATATTCCAAGGTATCCAGAAAACTTGGGAATGAAATCGCCCGAGTCCCTGTTAATGACTTTAGGAACAGTTTTCTGCATCTGGAATGGAGGGAGATCCCTGGACACAGACACATGTCGTTTTGTTCCCCAGGAAGGTGAATTATGACAAGTGTTCCAGGGAGTTTAAGGTCATTCCCAAGTCAGATCCTAAATTAGGATGTTAGAGAAGTGCTTTGGGTGAATACAGAAAAGGAAACAGTGATAAACAGGGTAGCTCATTAAGGAGAGAAAACATGAAGTGGATTTCCCTTTATTGTTTAAAAATTGCCAAAAATGTGTGTCAGTGGGGCGGCCGTGTAGCCCTTCGGCAAAGCGTTCGACGAGAGTGTGTGGCAGTTTCTCCGTAGGCGAGGCCACGGATCTGGAGTGGGATGCGCGGACGATGTCTGGTTGCGGGGTCGCTCACCGGCAGTTTCAGCTGCGCACTGCTGTGTCTGCAGGTTGGAGGCTGTTTTGACTCCTCCCGGTTTAATGTCTTTTCTGGTGTCTTGGGTGGATATACCAAGTTGTGTGCTCAGAATGAATAGCCAAGGCAATGGGGAAGGATCTACAACGTCGGGGGGCGTGCCCTGCTGTGTGAGGCACCTGGACGCCTTAGCCATCGCATTCAAGGCCATGTGCTGTTACAGGACAGACAGACGGAAGGAATCCCAGAAGGGAATAGAGAGCACAAACATAGAGCCACCCCCCCCATGGATGGCAGCCGTGACATGACCATCCGTAACTCACGGGTATATTCTTAACATCTTGCAAAGGACGTTGGTGTGTGCCTTCAAAAGGAAGTACTGGATGATAGGAGGGACCTGGGATGCCTGTGTGATAACAGTGCTGCCACTCTGTGCTCAGCATCGTACAGGGGAAGTGGGCATCTGCAGCTGCCCTGGGGAACAGGCATGCTGCTTGGATCCAGATGGCTGACGGACAGCCCAGTGCGGAGAGGAGAAACGTTCTTTCGGGAGAGAGCATTACAGCAGTGGAGTGGCCTAAGGATTAAGACACACGGTTGGGAATGAAAATGGTGCGCTGAATTGAGTGGACGCCCAAGGGACAGACTGAAAGAGCAAAAGGCCAGCCTGCTGTCTCAGAGGCCGGTCGTCCTTGCCCGTTCTCCTCACCCTCCTCCATGGTGAGGCTTCAGCTCCTCGGGGGTGGGGGCGGAGGGCGGTCATTGTGACACTGTGATGGTCCCGTCGTCTGTCAACCATGCCTGACACAGGGTAGGTCCCGAATAGTCAGAGAGGATGGGTCAGAGAGTAAATGATGGCTTACAACCTGGGCAGAAAATATCTGAAACGAACAAAAAATAATCCCTTCTGAAGTGTGAGCGTTGAGTAATGCTATAAAAGGGTTGCTTCGGGACCAGCTAACGCTCTCGGATCCCAAGGTCCCTTAGCAACACCAGGCGGCCTCTGAGCCCTCAGAAATGATGTGCACCTGTGCATTAGATTAGCCTTTTTTTTTTTTCTGGGACATTTACAGTTTTCATCTGCTATCCAGTGGGATCTAGTATTTTTAAAATATGTACGAGAATTGCTACTTTTAGAAGAAGATTAGAGCCCGCTGAGCAGTCTCCAGGGTCTGGTGCCGCTGGGTTATCCTGCGGGCACTTTGGGGTGGTCGGGCCCCCACGCCGTCCTACTCGTTTCCCTGACACTTTACCACCTTCTACTGCGTCTGGGCTGTGGCCGCTCGGAGGGAATCTTTACCCGTTTTTCTCAGTGATGGAGCCCAAGCACCTAGAAAAGTGGCCCACAGTAGGCGCTCAAAAAATACTCGTTGAACGAATGGAGCACATCGCAAAGCACTTGGTGTCGTCTGAGCTTACAGTGAGGCCGACTCGTGAAATAAAGAATTCTTCAGGCCTTGCAGGCGGTCGGATGGTGCCTCTCCTTCACATTTTGGGAAGACTCTCTCTGGTTGAAGTCCATGTTCGTTCCCTGCTCTTTTAAGCACGACTCTCGTGTTCTCTTGGATAAAGAGAAAGATGGACGTACTAAATCGAGTTTCACTTGCAGTGAATTCACACGTGTGTGTGCAACGGTTTTAAAATTTTATAAATAGCTTCAGTGAATCAGCAATTGGCGGGTCTGCTATGGACAGAGACACGGCGGGCCGTGTTTCACTAGTGATAAACTGGTGCCGCGGTCGTATGTGACGCTGAGGGTGGAAGTAAGCGAACCAGGACTCCCTCTCTCCTGTGCGCACGCGCAGAAGCAGAGCTGCCGCCAGACGCCTTCGTGTGCATTCTCAGCCTCTTGGTTTCGCTCCTAATGTATCAGGGTAACTATGGGAAGAGAAAAATAAACTAGTAAAAGGCACGGACTCCTCACTTTGCTTTTCTAGAACACCGATCATGCGAAGTAGAGAATTTTAAATGCTCCACAGCCTACAGATGATCCAAAAATAAAGTCTTTTTTTTTTTTAATGGCAGGTGGTACGTTAGAGGAAACGGCCCCGTGCACTTTTAATACTGGATGCTCTGGGGCCTCCAATCCAGTGATCTCAGCTTAATATAGTACTTGTGGGGCCTGGTAGCGTATTGGAGGAGCATTGCTTTCGTATTTCTGCAAAGTCGACTTTGTAAGTGTTAACTTTTGCGTTCTTTTGCCTTTTCCGGTCCCATGGCAGACACGGGGCTGGGCGACTCCGTGTGCTCCAGCCCAAGTATCTCCAGCACCACCAGCCCCAAGCTCGACCCGCCCCCCTCCCCTCACGCCAACAGAAAGAAGCACCGAAGGAAGAAAAGTACCAGCAACTTCAAGGCCGACGGGCTCTCCGGCACCGCTGAAGGTAAGGTTTCCCCGGGGAGTTCAGGGTGAGAGTCTGAGTCCTGCGTTTCAAGCTGGGGAACTCCCTTACCCTTAGGACCACACATGCACCACAGTGCAGGTCACCGCATGTGCTTTCTGTGTACAAGGCGACACTAGAGAGGCCTTGGAGCTGCTCATCACTGACTGATTCTCAAGATCATTCCACCAGATCAGCTCTCTTCCCTTCCGGCAGTCGTCGTCTGGTAGAAGGTGAATTCGCTTTCCCTGTCGCCCGCCTGGGCAGGTTCTGGGTCTTGCCCTCCCTCCGCACCCTGGGTCAACAGTGTCCACTCCAGCTGGGGGGGCGCCATAGTATTTAATTCTAATAAAGACGGTTGCCTCTCCTCCTCGAGGAATCTTTTCTGATATCGGCTGGTCTTAATTCTTACAAGACAGCTACCCCAGTCCTGGCTTTCAGCAACCCATTATGATAAATGCTCCTTCTGTGAGTGTCTTTCCGCTCTTTTTGTTTTGTGGGCTCTATTAATATTCCAGTTGTCACAGTTTGTCACAGTTTGTCTTGGTCCTCCTTTGACTTCTTGAGCCCTTAGTTTTTATTCTCGGTGATGGCCAGATGTGATCTTTCTGAAGTCGCTCCTTCAGATGGATTTACATTTTTTTATCTCACAGATGCAAAGTGGAGATGCGTGCGTGCGCGCGCACACACACACACACACACACACACATTATGAGAGGTGAAATTAATGCAGTTGTAATAAACAAGCTGAAGAAAATATGTCAAAGGAAAATAAAAATTTCGCAGCATCGTTGTTCAACATTAATTGTTATTTGTGACACCATCAATAGCAAAAGACTCTGTTTTCAACACACGTTCCACACACGCGCCAGAAATACTTTTATAACTTACACCCTTTCTCTTTCTCTGTTTCTGCCATGCTTTTCCTGAATCCTCTGCTTGGTTGTTCAGAACTACAGTTTGCAGTGTTGGAGAGAGTGGCTTCTTCCCTCCTAGTATCCAGCCGTGAGCCTGTAAGCCCACAATGCATACATTAGCAAGGAAGGAACAGGGCTGATGGTGGGCCATGCACCGGCCGCCACGCCCCCCTGAACGGGAGGTTGGGGAAGAAACCAGGAAGAAGCCTGGCGGGTGACCATGGTCACCTGGTGGGTGACATGCGCCACACATACCCCAGGGGAGAGGGAGATTTGCTGTAGGGAAGGGCCTCCTGTCCGTGTCACAGATAAACATCTTACTGGGTATGTCGTGTTTCTGACAACTTTGTTCAGAAGCACCACTTGGTAGAAACTGATTATCGGGTCCACCTGTAAGTACATTACACATATTTTACACTTTCTAATTATATCCTACCCACCTCCTGACAGAGTGAAAACTGTGTGAGTAAGATACAGCCTTCAGGTAAATCAGTGGTTGCATGTTTAATTGAACCGCGGCTTCAAACCAGTGTCCCGCTGAGCCAGTGGCGACTTGAACGAGGTTTGAGAGGTGTCCGTGAGCTTGTTGGACACCCGAGAAGCTCCCAGCCCGTTTCCTGAGTTACTGGGACCGTATCCTGTGCTCTGAGCAATAGCGTATAATAAGGCTGAGACAGATCCTCCAGGCAAAAACAACCTTGGACCCTTTCATTAAAAGGCCTTAGTGCGCGGTGGTGACACAGACAGAAAGACAGACTCCCAGGCACCATAGAAACACCCAAATTAGAAATCGCCACAGTATCTCAAGCATGGATGATGAGTAACGGTTGACGTGTGCTCAGAAATTCAACACCAATGATCAGAAGGGAAGCTGCCCCTCACTTCCTAGTTAACGGATTATTGTGTCTGTGATACCAACGGCCATGACATCTTTCCAGTTCGAAATAAGGTAACAGATTCTCTATAAAAAGAAAATGATTCATTTTTCCCTAGGAAAGGTTACATACAAAACAGTAAATGAGTCATTTTTGTGAAGCGCACTATAGTTCATTATTTCTAAGGCACTCATTTTTTTTTTTCTTCATATTTTAACATCTCTGAAGCCATAAGGCAACCTACAATTGAGGTCATTTTAGATTTAGTGATACACAATATTTTGTAATAGTCTTAACGGCTGTTAGCTTCTTTACGTAAATGGCGTAAACCATCTAAATTTAAACATCTGTTCTTGAAATTAGAGCTAGTTGTGTATGTTTTATTTTTAGAGGATATTGTTTAATTTTAATTATAAGAAAATATTTCTGTTTTACTTTCCTGCAAGGCAGTATGACTGGTTGCTTCCACTATATTCTGTGTTAGACTGACCTCATTGTGAAAAATGGGAATTGTAGATATAAAAGGTTCTCTAGAAGATGTTTGAAAAGTAGTTGAGTTATATGGTTTTTGACATAACCCATTGGAACAAATGACAAATTCAGACTTCTTCAGAGTTTAAGAAAGATAAAGTATCACTGAAAGTTAGCTACTTCAGTCAGGGTCCTGGGGGAAAACATGGCACCCTCAAGCTGGGTCATCGAGGGAAGTTTACCATGGGACTGTCTGCAGAGGTGTGGGAAGAGCTATGGGGTGGTGCAGAATCCCAGGAGTGTAATGGGCAGCAGAGGGGCCAGTTATCAGGACCCAGAGAGAGAGAGCTGTTTGGGCAAGGCCTCCTGTCAGGAGCTATGGCCTTCAGCAGAGGGACCTATCTAGCCTATGGTAACCCAGAGGGTGGGGGACCCGGGGGACTGCCCGAACTTCATTCCCCTGCCCGCCTCTGATCTCCTGCCTGCCCCCCTCTTTGACTAAACCCAAGCAGAAGCCAAAGGGCGCCAGCCACACGGGTCTGCCTCTAAGGCAGAGACAGAGAGAAGGTAGAGATGAAGCAACTGAAGCAAGGTGGTGCTCATGCCTTTGACAGTGCCTCTGAGAAATCCCTGGGGAAGTCTGTGCCCTGACCTCAGTAAGTGCAGTAGACCAGAAGCCTCTCGAGAGGGCGGGGCTGTATGCTATCCACCGTTGTCTCCTGGGGGCCTGGCCTGAGCCCAGCTGAGGGGGTGGTCAGAGCTTCCTGAATGCCCCTCTGTACCATTCCCCAGCCGAGCCCACCACACAGGAGCCCTAGACGCTCAGCCAAGTGCAAAGATTCTGTTGCCAGCTATTTCTTACCTTGGCAGCATGCTTGTCCAGAAAGTACGAGCGAACAGGATAATATCGTCAGTGTCTGTGCTGCCTCAGAAGCCAGAAACGCTCTGTCCACATGGGGGCTCTTGGTGCACCTGATGGAAATAAGGCCACCCTGTCCAGCCAGTTTCTCGCGGTACCAGCATTCATGATCGTTGCCCTAGTTCTCTTACTCTGAAAAACGATTAAACTCTACACCCGATGGCAGAAGATGCTAATAACCTGAGTTGGACAGTCATTTGCTTATACGTATAACTTAAAATGAATGGAGTGAATCTAGTAAATTATAGAAGCAGAAACTGTGATCTTTATAAATGTAAACATAAAAGAACTCCTTATCTTCATAACTATTTTGGGTTCTAACGTCATAACTTGATTAGGAATGTATGTGTATGTGTGAGCGCTGGAGAATTTGTTTGGCTATTCAAGCCAGTCACTGGGCTTATCTAAAACGATTAGTATCATTTAAAGAGTCAAAAATTAGGGGCGCCTGGATGGCTCAGTCAGTTAAGCAGCCCACTCTTGATTTTAGCTCAGGTCATGATCTCAGGGTCCTGGGATTGAGCCCCAAGTTGGCTCCACGCTCAGTGGGAAGTCTGCTTCAGGATTCTCTCTCTCCCTCCACCCCTCTCTCCGCTCACATGCATTCTCTCTCTCTTTCTCTAAAATAAATGAAAGGACCTTTAGAAAAAAAAAAAAGTCAGAAATTAAAAATAACCCAGCCCCTCCTTGTGCTGTGGAGGAAGTGTGGGGTACAAGCTGGGGCAGTGAACTCTGACTTTGTGAGAGGGACCTCATACGTCATCGAAAGCAGAGTGCCCCAGAAAGGTGATGGATGCCTCGTTGTGCTCCCAGGGCTGATATCTGAGGCTAACTTTAGGCAGGAATAGGACACTTTCTCAGTGAGTTTAACTTTGAGAAGAACGAGCCTCATAGAAGCCAACATCCTCTGGCTGTACCATAAAAAAGGTGCAGGTGGTCGTTACGTTTAAAAAATAAAAATTCACGTATCCCATTTCTACTTGTACTCCTATTTAATAGACCTTTCAGAACATTGGATATTAAAATATTGGTGATTTGATTTTAAACTGGGTTTGATTTGCTCAGAATTAATTACATTGTATGTTCACATCTGGGCTCTGTACTCCACGATGATGACAGACCAATGAAGGTGAATTTGGATGTGGGCAAGACGCACGGATGTGGGGACTGAAGCCCATGCTGTGGAGGGAATCTTTGAAGTATCTAGAAGAGCTGTAGGGAAGGACAGGAGCCTGGGGGCACGTGAACTCACATCCTGGGTGGCCCAGGTGGGCTTCTTTGGGACCGGTGGATGGACGCTTCAAGGAGATGGATTTTGGTTCAGATATTAGAAGGCAAACTTTGTAAGAAGCAGGGCACCTTGTCCCCTGTGGCGGCCACAGCACTGGCTGGAGGGGAGTTCAACCCTGGAAAGGTGCTAGTACCCAGAGCCCTGGATTTGTCACCAGAACCAAGTTGAAGGGCATGTGCCCAGAAACCCCTGGGCAGTAGAAAGGATACAGATCTTTAATGACTTGCTGTGTTTTGGCATTGTCTCCGAATCTCGATGCTCTCTGGGCATCTTCTTATCCAGGGTCCAGTAGTGAGCTTACCGTTGCAGAAATGAAACAGAGTCCTGCATTCTCTGTGGCCCCAAACCTGGTGGTTCTCGTTAGTTTTATAACATTCATGCAAGTTTGCATCAAGTGTTAATTTCCCTGTTCCCCCAGTGAAAAGGTGGAAGTAGAGAGAGGTTAAGTGGCTTTCTTGTCCAGGGTCAGGTTGCTGGTAGGTGACAGAACTTTCTCTTGATTCTCTGCCTCAAACTCTTTCCACCAGGCA